TTAGAACTTATCAGCCTCCATAATTACATGAGCCAATTTTTAAAATATCCATCAATCAACCCTGTTGGTTGTGTTTCTCTGAAGAACTCTGACTAATACAAGAGGTTAGCCACTGAAATTATGGAGGATGATGAAACACTTTTACTCTTTATTTATTTTTATGTTCTTCTCCCTTTCCATTTTTCTACCTTTTTCCTCCACACTTTGCAGGATCAGGAAACCCTTAATTGTTAAAATAATAATGAAAAGATGAGATTTTTTTACAGAAATACAGGATAAACATACTCCAAATAGATCATTAATGCAGGGTAAAATATTTAGAAGTGAACTTTGGAAAATGATGAATATTTCAGTTGGGATAAAGATGCTGGAACAGAGTCCTATAATAATAGTTTGAGATCCATTGTAGAAAAAAGTCTTACAGGAAGCAAAATTTGACACTCCTAAATGTTCTTTTTGGTATGAGGATTATTTTAAATTGATTTTTTTTTTTTTTTTTTTTTTTTTTTTTACACAGAAGACAGGAAGTTTTACTTTTCCACGCCCGCCCCAACTACTTAAAATAAATTAGATAGAGTTCTTGATCCAGGAAGAGAACTATTATCAGAGATAACTACTAAGACTATGGGCTAGATGTAGTAAACTGGGGTAAACTTAGCCTGTTTGTTCATAAACTTAGCAAGGTCCTCTCCAGTCCCATTGCCTTTGCATGGCACAACAAACATGTGTTTACCATATATTTATTTTTCATCTTTCTATCAGTTGTTTTCCTTCCCTTTAAAGTTTAATCCCTTACCCCTTTCTCCTTAGCTCAGAAAATTACCTTAGTTTGATTGCCCAACTGCCTATGGGTCTCATATTCTTATGGAGCCTGCATACTTATAAAATTAAATTTTATTTTATCCTGTTAATCTGTCTCATGTCTATGTAATTCTTAGAAGGACCTGGAAGGGTGGAGGATTTTTTTTTCTTTCTCCAAATTCTTAAATGCTAACCTAAGGGATTTGAAATTCTGGATGATAATACAAACTTCAATATATGCACTAATGAACTAGTAATTTTAACAAGAGCTAATGTTTGAGTGTGTGGTATACACTAAATACTCTTGTAGGCACTTTATTTGTTTTAACTCATTTAATCCTCCTATTAATTCTATTTAAAAGCTTCTATTATGCCGAAACCGGTTTGGCTCAGTGGATAGAGCGTCGGCCTGTGGACTGAAGGGGCCCAGGTTCAATTCCGGTCAAGGGCATGTACCCGGGTTGCGGGTACATCCCCAGTGGGAGATGTGCAGGAGGCAGCTGATCGATGTTTCTCTCTTCGATGTTTCTAACTCTCTATTTCTCTCCCTTCCTCTCTGTAAAAAAATCAATAAAATATATATTTTTTAAAAAGCTTCTATTATTTTCTAAGTATTACAGATGAGTAAAGTGAGGCAAAATGTAAGTCCAGCAATTTTCCCAAGATCATACAACTAGTCAGTAGTAAAGCAAGGATTCAAGTAAAAAATGAGATGACACTAAAATCAGAAAAAATGTAATCAGAGTCTATTAAATGTGGATTGCAGCCTCATTCAGCCATTTGATTTCACCATGTGAGATCTGAGCAGAGGAACCAATTGATTAGCACTTTTTTTATTTGTGGAAGTAGAGTTCTTGGGGTGCCATGAAGAAAAGAATTTTCTGAGGTCCCCACGGGAGGATGGGGTTTTATGAAAAGCTTTATTGATGATGTAAATTAAGGGTATTTTCCCCCAAGGTGCCATCTCTGTCTGTCTCACCATGGACAAAAGTCCAATCTTGTCTTCAGCAGGGCCAGAATAAAGGCCACTGTCCACAATTTCTGCTCCATATTAAAGTCCAGCCCAGCATCCTTCGTGTGGAGGCTGCGTAAGGCCACCTGGCTGTGGAGGTGAGCACATTGGCAAGTGTGGGTCATGGAGCAAGAGAGGAAAAGTGGAGAGCAAATGCAAGCAAGAGCAAGAGTACAGGAGAGGGGAAACTCTTTGGTGATTTTACCCTTCCAAGATTTAGTGTGCTTGCAGTGGCTCCACCATCCTAGCCAGCCCATTGTTCTCCATGTTAGACTGACAGGCAAGCACCTTCCCTATGTCAGCCTGTCTTCACTGAACATGCACCTATTTTCCTTTTTGTGTGATCCTTCCTTCCAATGATTTGCAGGGAATGAACTGGAGTTTCCCTGGGGAGCATGAAGCTGTCTGCAGCTTCTTGGTGAAGCTGCCTGGATGGCCATGCTTACAATGCCTGGCCTCCCCTTTGCTCTCTTCCCTTTATTATTAATAACTAGCTCATTATGACAATAACATCTTGATTCCTGATGCATGGAAACTATGCAATGATAAATGTGTCCTGTTGTAAGTCACTAATTTTGTGATAATTTGTTACAGCAGCAACAGAAAACTTATATATCCACTTTCATGCCAAATTTCCTTTTTAGAGTTGTTTTCTCTTCTCCTTTTTATTGAAGTTACTGGGGTGACACTGATTAACAAAACTATATAGGTTTCAGGTGCACACTTTCATAAAATATCACCTGTACAATGTCTTGGGTGTTCACCACTCCACGGTAAATCTCCATCCATCACCATTATTTAGCCCTTCTATACCCTCCTCCACTTCCCACATCCCCTGTCCCTGAGCAATCACACTGTTGTCTGTGTCCATGAGATTTTTTCTCCTTTTTTCCTTTTTTGCTCATTCACTTCACACACACCCCCACCCAACTGTCCCACCAACCACCCCCAACAGCCGTTAGCCTGTTCTCTATCTCTGAGTCTGTCTCTACTTTGCTTGTTAGTTCATTTTGTTCATTAGATTCCACGTGAGTGAAATCATACAATGATTTGGTGTTTATTTATTGTTTAGATTGCAGTGTTTTAATATTTATGGGATATATGCCATTCAGCTTTGATACAAAATAAACTAAAATTCTTGTCTGGCTTACTTATATGAACCAGAATTCTCTGAAGTGTACAAATGGTCAGAATCAAGCATGACAGCTCCCTGATGCAGTTTACTTCTAGCTTATCTCACTGCCAGTCCTGGATCCTGGTTGGCAGAGCTTTGTTATTCATGCTGAAAGAGGAAACCAACCAACTTCCACAGGTTAGAGTGATAGGACTACTTAAAGGAAGCATTAAAGTGTTCAGTGTTCATAAATGGCAGGATCATATTACTTGATGATAATTTTCTACCAACTCTCTCCTGCTATAGCCAATTTGGGTAACTGAGTCCAGAAAGATGCTGTCAATTAGGAGGAAAATCAGAATGTAGTCAATGTTTAAGAATCTGAATATGAAGTAAGATTAAAAGTGTTAGGTATAGACAGATTGATTAACCACAATAAGAAACAGGGGTAAAAGCAAACTATAAATATCTGAAGGTTATTAAACAGCAAATTTAAGAGGTAACTGGGAAGAATATTGCAGCTTAAATTTAAAAAAATATTTTATTGATATTTTAGAGAGAGAGGAAGGGAGAGGGAGAGAAATATAGAAACATTGATATAAGAGTGAAACATGTATTACACCCCCTACCAGGGGTGGTCGAGCCCACAACCCAGGCACCTGCCCTAACCAGGAATCCAACCGGCAACCTTTTGGTGCCCAGGATGATGGAAGCCCAACTAACTGTGTCACGCTGGCTGGGGAGCAGCTTTAATTTGTGTTAGAGCACACACAGTTAAACATTAGATAAATTTGACAGGTGAGGGAAACTGATATAACAACCTTCAAATCTCAGAAGATTATGCTTTGTAGTTTGTAACATGGCCATCTGGGGTTGAAAGGAGGGTTAAAAGAGTGCTGCTCCATGGAGTCATTCAATAATTCAGGCTTCTACCATATAGTCTATCCCCCATCTTCCTGAGCAGGAGTCTGAAAACTAAGATTCATGGATCAGTTTTGGCCCCAAACCTGTTTTTGTATGGTATATGGGCAAAGAGTGTCTTTACATTTTTAACACCATATATATATATATATATATATATATATATATATATATATATATATTTATATATACATAAGAACATTAAAAAGAAATATGACAAAGGATTGAGTATCTGGCCTTTTCAGAAAAAAATGTGCCAATCACAGCTTGGTACCCTCAACTACATTCTCTGCATCTAGCCAGCAGTTAAGGGAAATGACAGGCCATGGAAGATTGTGCAAGAAGTTCTAGGGACAGGACCTGGAAATGACAAACATTGCATTCACTACATGCTATTTAAAGGGTCTCCACCTCTATGCAATTCAGAGTTTCAAGTACAGTCAAGCTCTATACACAGCTGAAAAAGGAAAAGAAGTTACAGAATTATTAGAATGTTTTTGTTTGGTTTTTTTTTGTGTGTGTGTTTTTTTTTTTTGTTTGTTTGTTTGTTTGTTTTACAGAATTGAGTTTTTAAAAACTTGCCATAATCCAAATTATTGGTCAACAAAACATAAAATAGAAACATTTGAAAAAATACATAATAGAAAATAACTAAATATTGATTTGTAAGGGGAAAAAGCAGGAAGCCCAAGATAGTCAAGGTTATAAATTATGTCAGGCAATTGTGGTTTTTGGTAATTTATTCTTAAATACAAATATAATCCATTCATAAGTTAGCCTAACTCTTGAACACAAATTAAGTTCATCATTGCCTTTTCAGACACCATGAAAAAATTGGAATTAAGATTGTCCCAAAATATCTTGAATATAATTATCATTTAGATTCTTTTTGTTCAGGTAACTCTCATTGCTATTATCAAAGCATTATATTTTTAACTCACAATCTTATAAAAGTAATTGTTTAGTTCTAAGCAAATTGAGAAATGAGCAGTTTTATAAATATGAACGTAAGCCTAAATATACAGAAAAATGTGTAAAAATATATGTATCACTGCGGTGTGATTCTTATGCTATCTAGGAATTACTCTTCTTTGCTCTTTGGTGGAAATCATTATTCATTGTTGCTGGAAAATAATCTCCATCCTTACCTTGCAAAGATGTTCTTCTTTCTTTGTTATCATGATTGGTTTCATCTGCCTGTATACACGTCAATTGATGCTGGACAACAGCAGACTGCTTGCCTTCTTTATTCAGAGCCAGTCTATTAATTAAAGAAAATTATCTTTCTCTCTGTCTGAATATGCTTAAAGATCAGTTCTTAAAACAGGAGAGATAGTTGATTACACAGATTTCATCAATCATTTCTCTTCTTCTAGCTATGTCTACTGTAATTAATATTTGTTATGCCTGTAAAATAGCAAAGGTAGGGAAAGAACATCTGTTAATGTCTTTTCAGAAGCCCCTTTCAATGGAATGCCTTCCAGAAAGTGTTAGGAGCATAAAAAAGAATAGTGGGGACTAGCTATAATTATAATAAATATTAATCATGCTCTGTTAACCCTGATTGTTCTGTTCTGATTAGAGAAAACACATTCTAATTTGGCTGAGAGTTGTACACCCCGGGACATGGGAGTTAACTTAGGAACGCAGTCCATTCTCCTTTTATCATCATGGGAAGATTAACAACCTTGTTGCTGAAGCAATCTGGTCCTGAGGTGCCCGCCTTTGCCACCCCCTAAACCCAAATTGCCTGTAAACTATAACCATTATATGTTGCCTACTTCCCATGCCTATAATTCCTACTTTCCCAATTAATCTTTGTCCTTCTACCCAACATAAGCAGCTGGCTATGAGGGGTGCAGAGCAGATTTTCGTTGATGACCTGCTGCTCTCCATATTGCCTGCGTTGTTGGAATAAATGCTCATATATGATTCAACCCTTCTCTGCTTAATTGGCTCAGGTAGTTACAGGAAGCCCAGACCAACTGGCTGCCCAGTTTCAAAAGTGTGCTCTGCAGACTGTCTGCCTCACTGGTGGTGAGAATGGTTTCATTCATCTTTCATTCAGTATTCAATTTCTTCCATAAAATGATATTGGGATAATGTAATCTGAGATGTTAAATGTCTCTCACCCTCTCTTCCCTTTACAGTTGTTTCCTCCTTCAGCTATTAGGGAATTTCAACTTTGTTCCACCAAAGTAGTTCCTGGGGCTCCCCTTTTCCTACTTAATGTCTTCTAGGAGCTCATTGTTAAACCTTTAATGCCCCTTGCATTAAGCACACACCCTTTCTCTCATATATAAGCTGTATCACCACATAGCCTCTGCACTGGCATCCAGTAAAAGCAATAAAGTGAAAAACTTAGGGGAAAGTATCTTATCAGGATTTGTAGAAAGTAAAATGCCCATTAAACCTGACAGTCTGAATCTTTCAACCAAGTCTCAGCAATGACTGTGGAAACACTCATTATAGGGTTTCTTCACTGTGAAAGAAAGAAAAACAGATTCTGCATTATAAAGCCCTGGACTTTCCTTTCTAAATCTCGTGAAGGAGAAATCCCCCTTTGGCTGCCTTCATCTCCTGTGGATTGCAATTTGCCACATCGCACAAGTACATTGTGACTCCTTGAAAGACTTGTGCTTTCCCATGCTGTTCTGTGAATGGGTTCTCAGCCATCAGGCTTTGTGTGTGTGTGCTGATGCCACACCAGGCACTGCTAACAACTGTGTTACAAGTCACATCCTTAGGGACTCTGCAAGCATTCAAAAAGAGCCTGTGGAAGAATATGATTGGCCATTAAATCAAAGAAAAGAAGGACTATGGAGATTTTCTTTGGTGCAATGCTAGCTCTGGCAGCACAAGTATTCTCTGAAATATAGACTACTGAGTTTTAAAGCTTTGCTAGTGTTGTTTAAATGTATAACAATTGTGACAGCTTTTTAATAAGATTTTTAAGTTATGAAAATCTTAGCTTGTCCCTCATAAATATTCTCACAGTGTCAGTCAGGAAAACCAGATACCTATCCCTGATATCTGATCTTGTCTAATATTAGACATATTAGATAGATATATGATAGATGATAGATAGATAGATAGATAGATAGATAGATAGATAGATAGATAGATAGATAGATGATAGATGATAGATAGTAGATGATAGATAGATAGATAAATAGATGATAGATAGATAGATAGATAGATAGATAGATAGATAGATAGATAGATGATAGATAATAGATAGAAGTTCACTACTTCTTTGAATTACCCTTGGTGGGGGCATCATCCCAGTTCTAGGACTATTGAACCTGCTTGTACCAGAAAAGGATCTCAATGTTTTACTTTTCTTGAAAAAAAAATGTGGTAAATAATAAGCTTACCAAAGCTGATGGAAGATTAAAGTCAGTGGTGCATGAGCAGGCTAAATAGCCATCTCAGACAGTGATTAAATAAAATTGAATTTATTTAAGGAAAAGAGGGTGAGATATGGGAATAGCCAAAGGGAAGGGCTACACAGAGAAAAAGGTGCCTTGGATACAGGTTCAGGGGATTAGCTCGGGACAAGATGCCACTACCAATTGCTCCTCTGATTGCAAATCTCGTGGGGTCCTATAGAGGTTGCAGGAGACATGCAAGTGTGGGAATAGCATGGGTGTGCTGCTTGGAGGGAGAGTGCGCACTGTATCCTTTGTCTTGTGCACAGTTATCTCTCTCTTGCAGGTGGAAATCTTAGGGGAGGTATCAAGGGAGGGTCTTAATTGAATATTCATCAGCTTCCCAGGTGTGCTCTTTCAGGGTCATGGTCTGTACTGATTGGTTGGTGCTAGGAAAGGGGATCATTAGTCAATGTAGCTGGTCCTGAGGCAGCCATGCTGCCACGTGGCTGGTTTTGCTGCTTTTCTGAACCTGGAGCAGAAAATACAGCTGAGGCCTAGATGTTATCTTTAGGGAGGAAAAGGTCGGGGGGGGGTCTAAACCACCTGACCAGTGATATGGGAGATCAGCGTCCAAACTGCATTACCAGTAATATGCTAGAGGAGGATAGGCTACCCTGGGGTCAAGGTTCTTGTTTTCCCAGTTGTGTATCTAGGGCTTTCTGACCTAGTGAGTTTCTGTCCCTGGCCCATCATACTTGCTCTGGGGGTCTAACAGCTGACTTAGCAGGCTGTGTCTTGGTGATGTAGCAAACCCTTCCATTAACTGTATAGAATCTCCAGGTCATGAAGAATGTGCTACATATATATTTTTTAAAAGAGTTAATTAAAATAAATGGCTAGAAAATAGCCTATATAATAAAGAGGTAATATGCAAATTAACCCTCACACCCTCACAAGATGGCTGCCTATGACCAGGCTGGCAGGGGGGTTAGTGAGGGACAACCAAACTACTGAACAGCAGGCTGCATGAGGTGACCAGGCCGGTGGGGGGGGCCATGAGGGGCGACCAAGCTGGCAGGGGGGGGCAGTTGGGGGCAACCAGGCCAGCAGGGGGGGGCAGTTAGGGGAGATCAGGCCAGCAGACAGGTGAGCAATAAGGAGCCAGCATTCCAGGATTGTGAGAGGGATGTCTGACTGCCGGTTTAGGGCTGATCCCTGGGATTGGGCCTAAACCAGCAGTTGGACATCCCCCAAGGGGTCCCAGATTGGAGAGGGTACAGGCTGGGCTGAGGGGACCCCTTATGCACGATTTTCCTGCACTGGGCCTCTAGTAACTATATAAAAAGTATAGCTCAAGTTATGTAAAAGAAAGATTTATTTAATTTAACCTTGGGGAGCGGGATAATCTTTGTTACAATCAAATTATCTTTTTTTAAAGGATATATATATATATATATATATATATATATATATATATATATTTAACATATATTTTTATTAATTTCAGAGAGGAAGGGAGAGGGTGTCAGAAGATAGAAACATTGAGGCCTGCTGCATGCCTCTCCATTGGGAACCCAACCCAAAACCTGGGCCTGTGCCCTTTCTGGGAATCAAACCATGACCTCCTGCCTCATAGGTAGGTACTCAATCAGGGAGTGACACCAATTGGGCCAATCAAATTTTCTTTTTTTGAAAAATTGCTGTGAATCTTAAGTGACACCCCTATTAGGGGTTGTAGATCTTGAGAAAAGACAAGCCCCCCAGAAAACAGAATGATGATAAGAGGAAATGGGTGACAATTAAATAATGATAAAGGCATACACCATGATAAAAAAAAAAAAAAAAAAAACTATTAGAAAGTTTCCAGAAATACACCAAAAGAAAAGCAATGGTAGACAAGATATGTAGAGACTAGAATTTCTTTGCTCATCTGTATAAAGGAGGGGGAAAGGATCACTAATAATCTGCAATTGAAAAGAGGGGAGACATCAAAATGGAGAATGAAAAAAAAAAAGGATGGGAAATAGATGGGAAAGAAAAAGACATTACAGAGTAAGAAAAAGGGAAAAGAAAGAAAAAGCTGTTCTTATTTACTAGGTTTCTTTCTCAAAAGACCACCGGAAATGGGGTTTTTAAAGAGGAACAGAAGAAAGTGAACAATTTACACCTCTCCTGGAAGGAAGAAAAGGAGCAGAGATTCCTATCCAGGAAGAAGTTGTCAGAGTCATTTTTACTAGTATTAGCACAACTTCCCAGAAGAGACACTGTATAGGGTCATGAATATTTAATTTTAATGAATCTAAAGTTGTCATTAAAATAATCAAATGGCTTAGGTGGGTAATGAAAGATTTAAATTAGAGAACAACAAAAATCTAATAAAAATGGTATCATTAAAAAAACATTGATGATATTCAACTTTGTAGCTCAAAACCAGCAATTGTTTCTCTTTTATAATGAGACAGTCAACACAGGAGAGTTTGTGAACAAGTTTAGGCAAACTGGGACAAATTAAGAGTTATGGTTAAATTAGCCCACAATTTTGGGACCTGGACAAGGTAATAGAGTTATAAAGCAGAGCTAAGGCACAGGAAGTATAAGTTATTTACTTTATAGATAACTGCACTGAATTGGGAGAGAAAATAATAATTACATAATTTTGCTCAAATAATGCTCAGCATGAAAGCAGGACATCATGTTAATATGATCTTTAATTAGAGTCAATGATACATAAAAACAAGTACATATTAAAAACCATAGTTATTAGTTAAAGCATTTGTTTACTAAGTGTTAATAATGTGCCAGGCATTCGGCAAAGTGTTATAAATATCATTGAATTCACACAAGCGCATACACACCATGAGTTATCATATGTAGTAATGTTGTTATA